CAAATTTTTGCTGTTATAGTTTTGAATATTTGTTAATACATTCTCGATTTGTTCATAAGTTGCTAATCAAATAGATTCCTTCTTATCTTTGTTCAATGGTCAATAAAGCATTTCGGCTACACTGTATTATTACTATCCATACTCCTCGATCTAACATGTGTTTTACGTAATAAATTATAATTGTTTTGACGTATTTAATCATCCGTATTAACTATTTTTTGATCTATTTTCATCTTTTATTAAATTATTTATATTAAATTTCTCACGCTTCTACTTCATATATTTCCTCTTTACATGCTTAATCATCTCTCTCGATTACTATTACTATTATAATTTTAATCAACATGATATATAACAAAATTTTTTTTGAAAAGAATAGAATTGTCTTTATACTATTTGAAATTGTTGAATTTTATTCTTTTGTTACCATAAAAGCGTGTAACATAAATTAAAGGAGCGTGATTCTTTTGAGTATTTAGTAGTAAATTATAATTGTCTTGTCATATTTAATCATCTCTATCGACTATTCCTTCTATCTATCTTTATTTTTTCATATTTAATTTTTCACGCTTCATATATCTCCTCTTTACATGCTTAATTCATCTCTCTCGATTACTATTACTTTTGTAATTTTGATCAAACATGATATATAATGAAATATTTTTTTAAAGAACAAAATTTTCTTTATACTATTTGACATTGTTGAATTTTATTCATTTGTTACCATAAAAGCGTGAAACATAAATTAAAGGAGCATGATTCTTTTGAGTACTTATTAAATAAAAAACATTTGCATTGGATCTATAACCAAAGAGTCCAAATTATTATGAAAAGTCATCCATTAGATGCTCTTACTATTTCTCAAAATTCAAATTTAGGACACGTGTGGACTATTTGTATGTACAACAAGAAGCATGCAAAAGAGGATTGAGTAAACTAAATTATATTTTTATTTACTATATAGTACGTTCGTATACATTATTAATTATTATCTTTGGCAGTATTTATCTGACTTTAATTTGTGAAGGTTCCTTTAAAATATATGCATGATACTTTGTGTCATTTTTCTTCCAAAAGAAACATCAATTTCATATTTGAACTCACACTTTGTTGGTTTAGAAAGGAAAATAAATTAACCAAAGGGTTAATTAAATCAACACTTAATAATAATCGATAATCAATTAATCAAGGAAATTTAAAATTTTCTAGTAGTGAGTTATTGTAACCTAACACCCTACGACTTCGATATTATTACACAAAAAATTAATTGAAATGCACTTTTATCATTTTATAGAAGATCAGAGTCCACTATTTTCAAGATTTAATTTCATTTTTTTTATAATATAATGTGATTTTTGATAAACAGATCAAATAACATTCTTCTACACTTAGGGTGTGTTTGGTAATAAATGAAAACAGTTTTATTTTTTTCATGTTTGGTTGGGATAAAAGTTTTGAAAAATATTTTTCAAATCAATTTATTTCCTTTAAAATCAGAAAAATGACTTCCCTTCAGAAGTTAAGGAATTTTTTTTTCAAAATTCTCATCTACTAGAAATTACATTTATTTTTTTAAAAACATCAATTTCTAAAAAAGATTTTCAATTTCAAAAATTTATATTTTCACGCACCCGTCTCCTCGGACTCAAATCATCCCTCCACCCCCTCAAAAAAAAAATAATTTAAAAGTATTTTCAATTTCAAAATTTTATTTTTCATCCTGATCCCGGACCCACCAACACTCTACCCACCCCCGGCAAAACGCCCCCCCCCCTTCCAAAAAAAATAGATTTTATTTTTAAAAAATATTTTCAATTTCAAAATTTCATTTATTCACCCCTACCCTCGAAGCCCACCGACCCCTCTCCTCCCCTAAAAAAATTAAAAATTTTAGTTCGTTTTTAAAAAATATTTTCAACTTCAAATTTTTATTTTTTAACCCCTACCTTGACACCCCCCACATCCTTAAATAAATTTTCATAATGTTTTTAGAAATTATTTTCAAACATTAAATTTTTGTTATTTCACCTCTCCCCTTCCCCTGCCAGCCCACCCTTCCTTAATTTTTTTTAAAAAATATTTTCAATTTCAAAATTATTTTGTACTCTAATAAAAGTAAAAGATATTTTTAAAAAATATCTTTTATACATAAATCAAACACTAAAAATATTTTTTACTCACCAATCAAACATGAAAAAATAAATCATAAATTTACTTATTTTTCACGAAGACATTTTCTAAAAAGCCATCTTCCGTGTAACACATTTTTCTTCGTACCAAATACACCCTTAAAGTTAACACATTTTCTAACGAGAGTCATCTACAATTAAAGGTTTAGAATTTGAGCATTATCGATAATAGTAAAAAGTGTTTGATGATAGGTACTAGTTCAATAGCTTTACGAGCCTTATGTGACGTTATATATATATATATATATATATATATATATATTGTT